TAAAAAATATATAAAAATAATTTTTAGGTTTTGATTTATCTAATTAGTAATAATTTTGATTTTATTTTTAGGTTCTAATATATTAAAACTTTAAAAGAAAAAGTTAACTTATTTTAATTTAATTAAATTAATTTATTAAAAATTTTAATAAAAATACTAGTTTTTTTTGATTATAGTAAATTTTAAATGATTATAAAATTAAAGATTATTTGAATATTAAATAATATTTTTAATAATTTACAAATTTTAGCCAAAAGAAAATAAATAAAGTTTAAGAATTTATTACAAATTATTTTAGAATCAATTTTCATTTTGATAAAATCATTAACTATAATAAACTTATCATTAAATTAAATTCTTTTAATTAATAAAATTGTAATTTAAAAGATATATTTTGTTTAAATTTATAAGATTTACATAAAATTTTAATCAATAAAATTATTAAAATTTAATACAAGTTATCAGTATAAATTATAAATAATGATATAACAAAATTTCTAAAACGTTCGATTACATTCCATACATACATTGATTATCTTTACTGATAATGATTAACGAAACTCCGATGTAACAGGCTAAACAACTTGATTCAACGGAAATAATCATCTGAGTATCATCTGATCACAATAACAGGACCACAATACGAGTATGTAGTCCAGACATTTTTCAAAGCAACATCAGCCATCGTCACCTGAAAATCAACTGTTTGTGGTGAAGTAAATGTATGACAATGTACCAAAATGATGCATATCACCATTTTCAGAAATATTACGTCATCTTAATGTCACAAGATGGTCACAAGATATCACCAGCTTTTCCAGTCATATCTTTTGCCCTCCTCCCCCAGAAGAACTTGAACCCCTTTTCTTCAACTCAAGAGGGAATATCAAATAAAAACCGTGACCGTTTTTTTTTTTTTTACAGTTCACCTGACTTTGAACCGTGAGACGTACAGCAACTTCAAGAACGCACTGACTATTCGCGTTGTGGTTTTTTTTTACTGTTAACCTTTACAAAAAATTTAATTGAAATATTTTTAAAAAAATGGCTACTGAAGAATCCACCAACGCACTTTTAAAAATGGTAAGTTCTTTGGCTTTATTTATATCATTTTTATTTCCATCGAGTTATACGCGCGATCAAATATGTGTATTATTATCAGGCATATGCAATGGACTCAATAACAAGTATATTATTATTATTATTATTATTACAACAATTCCCAAATTAATATTTCTTATAGGGCGTTTACAAAGAAAGCCCTTCAAAATCAACAAAAATGACTTCAAAGGATGAAGTTCAAACAGTTCCCTCTACTATCCCAACGACACAAACACAAACTCAAATCCAAACCCAACAAAAAAATTCTCCCACAACTTCGATCCAACCTAGGTATCAATTAAATTTATGTTGTAAATATTTCTTATTTAAAATAAAAAATAATTTACTTTTTCTTTTTGACAATTAGTTCTAGTGGACAACAAAATATGCTTCCAGGACTTCCTTCTACTCCTCAACAAAAACAGGATTCAGTAACGATCCATTCTGGTCCTTTACCTATCCAACCAGCACCACACACTCCTCAACATGGTGTTACGCCACAATCCCAACAGCATACTCCGTTAAGGCCTAATCTATCTGCGACAACGACACCTCAGACAACACCAAGTGGTAAACCTCCCGTCGGTAGTGACGAATGGCATCGACAACGTCGCGAGAATCACAAAGAGGTTGAGCGTCGTCGCCGTGATACGATCAACGCTGGTATTAATGATTTAGCCAAGATCGTACCTGGTTGTGAGAAAAATAAAGGAAGTATTCTCAATAGGGCGGTTCAATATATTCAACAGCTTAAAGAGAATGAGGCTGCGAACATCGAAAAGTGGACATTGGAGAAATTGTTAACAGATCAAGCCCTTCAGGAATTACAAACACAAGTTGAGATGCTTAAATCTGAAAATGGGAGACTTAGGGCAGAACTAGAAGAATTACAGGGTCCATCAAAAAAGAAGCAACGAACTGATTGATTAATAACATTTTAAATATTGATGCCAGTTAATATTATTAGTTTGGGAGCTGGCTCATTATCTGAAAGATATTGAGTTAATAATATATATTATATGTTTTGATTTTTTTGATTTTTTTTTTTTTTGAATTTTTTTTTTTTTTTTTTTTTGTTTTTTTTTTTTTTTTTTTTTTTTTTTTTTTTTTTTTTTTTTTTTTTTTTTTTTT